GTTGAGGGGTTTAGGGGGTTAGGGGTTTAGGGTTTAGGGGTTTAGGGTTTAGGGGTTCGGGCTAAGGATTTTCTACACGCGCTGCTCAGAAGGGATACTGAAAGGATTATGTAGGGATTTATAGTTTAGGATTAGGGATTTCGGGCTCAGGCTTTTCGGGGTATTGTGTTTCAAAATAAGCTTCCCTAAGGGTTTCTATACGGATGCCCTAATTACAGATTCTCTTGGGGTTTTGGGGGTTGGGGGTTCTTGTAGGGTTTGCAGAGAAGGCTCAAGGATGGAATCACAAAGGGCTCAGGGTGTTGGGTATGGAGTTGTGGGCTGTGAGTATACGCGTTCGGGCATTTTTGCTCTAAGTGTGGGGCTTGGGCATTTGGCTTCTACAATGCCACAGTTTAGGGTTCAGGGGTTTCGGGTTTAGGGCTTACAAGAGGTCGGGATACTCGGCTGAGAGGCTTTGTCCCCAGAGTGGTGTGATTCCTCAAATGGGGTCTCTCTTGTCCCTCAAAGTGGTGTTCTCAGAGAACACCACTTTGGAAGACAGCACAGCAGCAATAACACCTTTGAGAAACAACACCTTGAGGAACGACATGACTGGGACTTTGGAGAACAACACTTTGAGCATAAACCACTTTAAGAAACCTTGGAGACAAAACCACTGAAAACCCTGAAAGTCAGTACAAACCCTTAGCCCTATACCCCGTTGCTACAGCGATAAGGCCAAGCCATATTAGATGTCAACCCCAACCACGGCCTCAAGCTTCGCAGAAAGCTCCTCAGAGCGTTCGGCGCGCTGTCGGTTGCTTTCGACCTGGCCCGAGGGATTTAAGACTTTCGTGGCATTGGAGATTATAAGCTCAAGTGTTTATCTGCGGGTACCATTCTAGTATGCATTGTCTGCCAGTCTACCATTATATGTCGGATTGTCTAAGACTTTGGATTTGGGGCAGCAACACAACACTCAGAAACACCGACAATTTTGATTTTGAAGACCGTATACTTGCAAGGAGGACGTGCTTGCACCCAATGCTCAAAATCTCTGAAAACCCAGGTCGTAACAGGCTGCGTCCTAAACCCCGAAATCGCGTGCTGGTCGCGAAGGGCCTGCGTCTCGAGCTCGGCACGAGACGCGATGGCCTCTTCAAGCTGTGTTGAAAGCGAGGCCACCTGGGTGAGGGTTGCGCTGAGGGCTTGGGGTTCGGAACTTCGAACATAGGGTCTGAGTTCCAGCATGCAGTCTCGGTCTGTGCAGGCTTGAGAGTCGACTTGAGTTTCTAGGAAGCTGCAACCAGCCACTGGAAGCCGTCTTAGCCGGCATACTCTCAGCACTGAGCTCCCACAAAATTCACTCGGTATCCTGAACCTCGGAGACTCTTCGTTGAAAGGTGAGGAAACCTCAACACACCCCGAACGACTAAACTCCCAATCCCGCAATCGTGAACCCCACACTCTACCAGATTCTACCGAAGCCCCAAACCGGGAACTCAATTCTCTTCGCTGCACGCCTGCGGCTTCAACTCCTTGAGCTGCTTCGTGGACTCCTGGAGCTCAGCCTGCGCGGGGCTTAGGAGACAAGACGCTCCAAGAAAGCAAACAAGCACAAGAACACGAATGGGGTATAGTATACTATAATTATAATAAGGGTTTAGGGTTTAGGGTTTAGGGTTTAGGGCACGAATGGGGTATAGTATACTATAATTATAATAAGAAATCCCCAAAATAGTAGAACACTAATGCGGTATAGTATACTATGATTATAATAAGGAACCCCCAAAATAGTATGGGTAATTTAGCAATTATTAAGGCCCTATATTTATGCCAAGGGTCCTTCACAACTCAAAGATGCACCGGGCTTCTACAGGCCGCCCACCTCTCCCCGCCAACTCCCAAAGCACAGAAGTCCCATTGATGCGGGCTTAGGGCTTAGGGTTGGTAGGGTTTAGGGTTTAGGGCTTAGGGTTTAGGGTTTAGGGTGTGGGGCGAACGGCCAACACCCACTGAAATGCCGCGATGGATGTCCGCAGACTCGACAGACGGAACTCCGATCAAACCCCCCCACCGAAGAGGGAAACAGCCCAACAAATACTACCGGCGGACTCGCATGGATATGAACTGCGCCCAGACGCTCGACTGTCGAACCCTAAACCCGAAACCCTCATCAATTAACCTCTGCCCTACGTCCTGAAAAGCACCTGTAAAACCCGTCTCCCAACCTGAAGTCGATTCTTCTCCTCGTTCAGAGCATCACGCTGCCTTCAATAGGTGCTTTAGCCGGAAGACGCTTTGGGCGCAGGGCATAAAATCCAAACTGGGCTTGGGCGGGGCTGCAAGGATTAGCGAGAGCTCAGCAACAGTTAGCTGGGCTTTCGGGACTTCAGGGCACCCAAGAAAAAGGAAGAAGGCTCGACACCCAACCAGAACAGCGCTCTGTCTCTGGCATCAAGTCGCAGCGACAGCCTCAACCCCACGGCTGCAATTCAACAGTCCACGCAACCTAAACCATGGGGATGCAATCGCTCAGCACAATACCCTGTCCTGAAGCATCCTACCCCGACACCCGAAAGACACGCCAGGAAACCGACGTGCTGGCAGGTTTTGATGCATCTATACGTTTTGTTGTTGTACACAGCACAAATGTATATATATATATATACATATGTATATATATATATACATGTTTGTATAGTTATGTTCATATATACATACGCATACAAACATCATGATGCACATGCAACCTAATTAGCTAGCTTCCCTGTTCAAGTCTTGTGCCTGTTGGTAAACATCCATGTACTCGTACATGAATAGTTCTGCAAGTAAAATGCATGCGACATGCTACGCCGTGGCCTGCTATGTGGTTTGTGCTCGGCAATCTTCTTTTCTGCTACGTCTCTCCGTACCCGAGTGTATGGGTGCACACCTGTATGCATGCAAGTATGCAAGCATGCACACACTGATCATTGTTTCTACGTGCATATGGGTATGGTTCTCTAAGTTGGGGTCAAATTTAGGGTCCTTTCTATGAAGCTGCCGTAGTATTTTGGGGATCCTAAAAATTTTCCGCCCTCACCTCCTGAGGTGCTTCAAGCTCGCGGGCGTGAGACCGCAAGGCTCCTCGGAGGGCAAAGGCCTCGAATGGCGACCAAGGGCTTCAAGCTACCTAGCTACCTAGCTAAATAACCACTTACCTACATACGAACTTCCATATACGTATGTAAAATACATACATGAATTCCGCTGCGCACGGCTTTCTTCAGTACTTCACTTGCTTTGGCATCCAGCTCACGCACGGTACCGTGTGCAAGGGTGGCATTGATTGAGGTCTGTCGACTGTCGACATTAAGCTGTTGAAAATGCAAGTCTTCTGCCTACCTGGGCCCCGATTGCTTGCATCCTTCAATACGTTTGAATGATGTTGAATGGCTGGTAATCAACGGTGCTTCTTGCTGCGAGGTTTTCTCTAGACTCACAGGTTGCTTCAACACCGGTGAAATCCTTGTGGAGGTGCGGTAGAATCTGAAGTCAAAGCAGCGCAAGTCAATAAGTAACTGGATCGTATTTCGTGGTGACTTCTGCGGATTCAGTGGTGCGATATCAGACTGAGCAAATGCAAGAATCAGAGGTACCCTGAGTCAAGACAGAGCACGACATGACAGCACGACGCCACCGAAGACAGGCTCACGATTTGGGGCTTTCAAGGTTTAAGGGTTACCGACCCTAAGCAACAAACCCTCCTTGACCCTGCCCATAGCGACCCGCAGTCCAAACTCCAAAACCCCAAGGTCAGTCGGGAGGCGCTGTCTGGGACAAGCTCTCGCCGTCGTTGTCCAAAGCCAAAGCCTGAGTGACTGCAGGGAGAGACTGAAGGGTCTGCGCATCCTTTTCAGGAAGGAGCCGACAAAGAAGTATGATACCTGAAGGATCTTAGAATCATGTGATGAGTATTCTCTTCGAGCCATCTGAAACTTGTGCCCACAAACACCTTTCGAAGACCATGGATGCTCCCTTCAACAAGGTGATCGCCCAGGCTTTCCGAAATCCTTGCAGCTGAGAGTTTGTATACTGACTCCAAGCGCATCACAACTTAACGTGATGTCAGCATGGCGAATTCATCGTGAATCGCAGTGCAAGTGCCAAAGCCTAAGCGCTAAGCCCGGACTCTGAACGCAGAAAATCAAATGCCACCACAATGCTCGGAATTCCACAGGTCCAGATCCCATCTTCAAAAGCCCCATTCGCATCTTGCTGGTAGCAGTGCTCCTTTCCTCAACTAGTACTGTTACATCTTGGACCCTGAACGTTCTGAAACTTGAAACCCTATTCAAAAAAAAGCCTAAACTGAAGTTGAGCTCTCGACATGGGCACCGCTCGCCTCCTTCGAAGGGGGCGTGCTTGCCACGAGCCTTGGAGCTTAGAGACGGAGGACGGCTTGAGCCAACCCTGGGCTCCAGCCAAAAGACCCCCAGTACACGAAAAGCTGAGGACTGTCAGAAACACAAAACAGTACTGGCACCAACTCGCCTGAGCTTCTGTGGAATCCTATCCGTCCTCGTGTTGAAGACGATGTCTAGGTTACGACACGCCCTTTGCTGCGGGGGGAGTGTGACAGTGGCGCTGAAAGCTTTTGGAAACCTGGTTAAATGTAGCTAGGCTAGGCCGGCTGACATCAGCTCGAAAATGGTGTAGTCACAGTCCGACAATTCCAGATGCAAGGCAGGCACTTAGACTTCTCACCGAGCGGCGGCAGGGACGGGGTGCCAGTCATTTGAGAGGAAGGGCTCTCCAGTGACCTGTGCTTTCAGCCGTAAATACAGGTAGGTCAGGGAGTCCGCCCTTGCCGCGTCCGGGGGTGTAAGAAGTTCAAGTGCTCGGGGTCAGTGACGACTGTTCTGGCTCTGTTCAATGTATATGCACTGTCACGGTTTGGGGCCTGGGGTTGACATCTACTTACGCTGCACCACGGCAGAGGCTGAGGCCGCTCGCAGAACGCTCCGCTGTAAGTGCTGCAGGCCGGTTGGTTTCTCAACCCGAACCATGCTTCCTTCAATGAAGCAAAGGAATTGGTTCTGACCCGACAGCGACAACGACACTGATTCAAACGTCCGGCCGCCATCACGATTGTGGGTACAAACCGTTTGCTTTCTCGTACTGCGGTGCTTCTGACTTACATAAGGATTGCCTTTGTCTGGCAGATGTGGCTCGAAAATGCCAAGGATTGCACGCAAGCAGCCACGGATCTTCTACAATGACAGTCTTAGCTAAACTATGTCTTGGTCGTGCAAGCCTCTGTTGCGGAACCAGCAGCACAGTGACAGTTTGCCAAGCTCGGGTTGCAAGACTGCTGAGCGAACTGTTTGGAGAATGCAGCAACGAGGCTTCATCTCGAGGGTGCACAGAAACATACTCAAACCAGCATGCGGCCATGACGACTGATGTCGTGAGGCTCACCGTTCTGCATGTTTCAACATCAAGAATCCTATAAAGGCAAGACTCGCAACCAAACTCTAACTCTAACCAGAGAAGGAGCTCTGAGGATCCGACCATACTACAGGTACTGGTATCTTAGCCCATGGCAGCGTGGCTCCGTGACGGAGGGTTTTGCTTGTGCCGCGGGGGACACGGCCAAATCCTCGGGTCACTGCAAACTGTTGCATCGTGCTCCTTGGAGAGTTTTTGTGGCGACTGTTAGAGGGATCTCTAAAGAGTCTTTTACGGCCCCGCTGCTTTTTCTGATCTAGTAAACGACAAGATCTCACACTTTACTCCAAACACATCTCCGTAAGCATCTGGTGAAACGTGCTATGCGATCGACTGCAGAATAGCTTGCTTTTTTGGTAAACGCTTGCGCCGTTGACTTCTACAAGAGCCTTAAAGTAATTAACGAAGTGGCTTTCCATCGAAGCAGTCCATGCTCATCCCAAGCTGTGAAAGACCGTGGTTCCGAGATACCCTGAGTCCCGACGTCCTAAATACCAAGTGCTAAGAACTCAACAGAATACGTACTTTAAGCCGAACGAGGATTCGAAACCAACCGAAGCCCAAACTTCCACAAGAAGGAGCAGGAATCGCTTCATCTCCAAGGCACCCGAATTCGATCGCTCTGGCGCTGCGGGGCGACTTGCCATGACTTGGCTGAAGAAGGTTGAGGTTTGTGCTTCGCAGCCTAGTGACTCATAGATTTTAGGTTGGTGGCTTAAGGTCTGCGTTGCCAGCGGAATCACGTCTACCTCAATCCGCGACAGAGTTTCCGGGGAAGATGCATGAAGTTCCAAGATGTCGATACTTCGCAGAGGCGAAACGAAAGAGCATAAATCGTACCAATAGTGGGGCGGTTCCAACGTCTAAACTTCAACAGAAAACCAAAGGCTGAAAGCATACATATAGCGCTGAATGAGAACATCTGGCAAGGAAGCCTCCAGCAAAGCAGCAGCAGCAGCAACAACAGCAGCAGCAGGAGCAGAAGAAGAAGTAGCAGTACTTCATTGTAACACGTAGTAATAATACTGACTACTTGACGCAATGCATTTTGCTGTTAATATTAGTGTTATTATTACTGATGGTAGTAGCAGCAGTAGCAATAGCAGTAACGGGGTGCAGAAACAGTAGGAGCAGCAGTAGTAGTAATGACAGCAGCAGTACTAGTAGCAGTGGTAGTAGTGGTAGTGGTAGTGGTAGTTGTAGTGGTAGTGGTAGTGGTAGTGGTAGTGGTGTTAGAAATAGTAGTAGTAGTAGTAGTAGTTGTTGTTGTCGTTGTTGTTGTTGTAGTACTAGTACTAGTAGTAGTAGTAGTAGTCGTAGCGAATAGCAGTGGCAGTGGCAGCGCCACCGACAGTGGCAGCAGCAACAGAAGCCGAACCCAGAAGTCGTTGACTACAGAAAGATGAGCACTAAACTTCAGCCCAAACTAGTATCCACAAACACAGATTCTGCCGGCATGTATTCGCAAGCAGGAAACAGCTACATTGGTGAACACATAAAAATATGCATAAATACACACATACATATACACACGTACATACACCTACCTGCCTGCCTGCC